TATGTACTTAAAAGTATATCACTTTTTATTTATCTAATTTCTTAAAGTATTGTTTTTGTCAAAATAAATATTTAAATTTAATTTTTTAGTCAAAATAAGTGCCTAAAGTATTTCTTAATCTAAATAGGTACCTAAATTTTTTTTTGTTTAAACATAAAATAAGTGTCTAACCTTACAAATGTTACAACTTTAGGTATCCGGATCGTAACAACAGTTAATTTCTGTTGTTAAAAGACACGTATCGAGCTCTGGTAATTTTGAAATTTTTTATTTAAAAATTAGAAACTGAAAAATATAATTTTATTTTTAAAAAACCCAAAACTTTTGAAAATCTTAAAAAACCCAAACTTTGAAAAACTTTATTCCAATCTCTATACTCACGTCGGCCACCTACGTTTGCCACTGTCACCATTGACGAATCTTCAACCAATCAAACTGATACGATGACCCCGCCATCCGACGTCCCAACCACCCAAAGCCACCCTAATCGACGGATTTAAACTAGATGAACCTGAAACCAAAAATAATAAAATTGAAGAACTTGATGGCTCCGACGATAACCATGATGGCATGGGCAAGGACAACTAACAATGACGATGACAAGGTCAGTGTCGACGACAACGACCGTGGCCAGTAAGGGGGTTGGGTTAGAGATTTGGGGTTTTTGTAATTTTATAAAAATATTATATTTTTTATTTTAATTTTAATTTTTTAAATTACCAGAGCGTAACACGTGTCATTTAATAGGATTGTTTTAACTGCTATTACAACCCAAACACATTGTAACACCCCAAATCCCAGACTAGTAATTTTGAATTTACCCAAGAGGTATATAGACCTCATAAAATTTGTAATTAAAGTCGTTGGGCCAAGTGTGGGCTTGATTAGGTTTGGATCAAGCCTAGTTGTTAATAAAAAAGGATTTTTGATTAGTAAAAAGATAAGGAATAACCAAATAAACAATTTCACATTTTACAGAGATGTGAGCTTTTATCCCATTTCATATTCTTCTTATTCTTTTCATTTCTCTTCATTCTCATTTCCTTCTTACTCTCCAAGTTCCATAGCTCAAACAAAATGTAACACCCTACACCAGTACGACACACAGTCGATTGATGAGAACGCCACACAGAACCACTAGAGTGGCTAACCAAAAATTTTCTTCAACATACTAAATGAAAAACATTCATTCGAAAATGTTTTTAATAAAATAAACGTAACATTTATACAAATCAATTTACATTCGAGATCTCCCAATAATAATAAAACAAAATATATAGATTGTCATTTAAATAAATCATGACTCAAATATACAAAATAGAGATTTCAAATATACATGCCCTCTAAGAATTCAAGACGTACTCTGCTCTGAGTATGGTCTGGATCACTTCTGGTCAAAAGGCCTCTCTACTGCTCCTCACTTAATCTGCGTAAGGAAACAAATTCCAAAAGCTGAGCTAACTAGCTCGGTGCCACACTAACAACTAAATCATACTAAAAGGGGTACAATAACATGCTCATAAAACTGATACAATAATTTAGTGAGTTACTCGCATACTCACTCATTACGCTATGGTAGACATCTTGGTACCTTTGAGGGATTTCTGCATCTCGGAGCTCACGCATCCCTTTAGTTTACCGAAGATGAGGCCCGAAATCGTTGCGTCGGACACAACACCCTTGACTAACCCACCCCTTGAGAGTGTCGGACCTTGCGCCCTAGCTAATCAGTTTAAAGTGCCTTGCGCACTGCCTAAGGATATCCAGACTGGATTTATACACCGACATCCTTATCTTGACTAAAGGAGCTCGAGTGTCCTGATCGTTTCAAGCAATGCTAGTTTTATGTCACCCTAACTTATCTCGTTTCTACGTATAACTAAGCATTATTATTGTTTCCACTTGTAATCTTATTTGAGAGTAATTATAGAGTTCTGGGGAATCTCATTTCCCTCTTACAATCCCTTAAAAATTATTTCCCAAAAAGTACATTGGTACCAATACTAGACCCTCGATATTGATACTGATCTCTTACTAACGATACCTCTATTTGGGTATCGATACTAATTTTAGGTTCGATGTTTTGAAAATATATAGAAATATCGATACTTCCATGAGTACTGATATCAAATTTAGCTTTGATGTTTTCAAAAATACTCCAGTATCAATACTTACCCTTGGAGTATCGATATTGGACCCTGAGTATCGATACCTCTTTAATGAGTATCAATACCACCCTTTCATCTTGGACCATTTTTAAGTTAATAGAAGAACAATATCGATATTGATTCATTCAGTATCGATACCCTTGCTTGAAATGACCCTATTTCGGCACTTAAACTCACCCATATTGTTACCTTGAGGTTCCAAATTGTTATTAGTGTCTTATGTAGCCAATAAGGATCATAAACAAGGCTTTATCACATGCTATAACACTGAAATACATGAATCACCATGAAAATTATTTCATCATGCTCCAACTAACTTTCAAGCAAATGCTGCATCTCTAATGACCCACAAAAAGTATGGAAAAGTTGTAAGTGTATTTACCTTCTTTGTTAGGCTGCTAGAACCTCTCCAACTCAACCTAGTGTCAAATTTTCTTTTCCTTTGGACTTTGAGTTTTCTCCCACTTTCTTCTCTAAACATGGGTAAATAAAAGGGTTATTATCTTAAATAACTACTTGGATTGGGGTTTAAAACTCTTTTACAACTTAAATTTTACTAAAATGACTAGAATCTAAAGATTCTCATAAACCCTTAAAAACCCATTTTTGGTTTCAAGATTAAAAACTAAAGAAATGGAACTTGAATTGAAGCTTGAAGAATGGTGATTCACATTCTTACCATGGCTTAACCAAACTAGAATTGAAATGATTGGAATCTTTACTTGAGGAAGGAAGAGAGATATGAGAAAATGGAAGAAGAAAGAAGAGTGTTTGGTGAAGATATTTGAGGGGTTTTGTTCACGTAAAAGATAGAATAAGAAAGGGGGTTTTAGCTTTTGAAATAAAAATGGGTAATTTGCTCTTTTAGTCCTTTTCTTCTAAAATCAATTAAAATCACCATTAACACATTGGCCCAACTCAAGCCCACTCCCTAATTAACGAAAACCAACCATTCTATTGAGTCATTGGGTTCGGTTTACGAGTCTCAGGTTGACCCAAACTACTAACCCAGTTTCGAAGCGCTACACAAAAAGTGGGGGTTTCATCATCCAAGCCTTGGAAGAGAGTGATAACTAGCAAAAGAAGCTTCATTTGAAATTCTTTAACCAAAGTATTGTATTTCTAATCATTTGAAGTGTTAAGGATTTCATAAGCATAAAGATTTGTTAAGATTTGTGTATTTGAGTATTTTAGGGTTTATTCTTGATTTCATGATTAAATGATGTTTTAGTTGTAAATCATATGTTTTTATGTCACTTTACGACCCTAAGTAACCTTCTAAATCTTTAGCACATGAATAAGAACAAAACTAAGACCTTTGGGATGATTTTTGGTTGTTTCCCTAGCTTAAATAAGATATTTTTGGGTTCGAGTATTAATATTGGATGAATTGAGATGAATTCTGGGCATTTTAATTGGGAGTATTGATATTGCTAAGAAAAGTATCGATATTGAGGGTATATGGTACCGTTACTAGCGTAAAAAAGTGCCATTTTTCAATGCTGGAAAAGGTACCAATTTTCAACGCCGAAAAAAGGGTATCGATACTACCCCTCTGGTATCATACTGGATCACAAATAGAAGCCATTTTTAGTACCGATACTGATGGGGATATCGATACTTGACCCTAAGGTATCGATATTACAAGTAGAGTATCACTACTACCTATTTTGGAATAGTTAGATTTGACATCGTTAAGGCCTGTAAGAGTTAAGGATGATCTGTAATGGTGAAAACTTAGTCCATGAGGGACATATATGGCCAATGGAAATTGAACACTCGTAGGAGTGGGTTACAACCGAAGTAACCACACTAAGTGTAATACGACCAAGTATATTCAGTCAAACATGTATTGAAAAATTAAGAACGAGGATCGCTGCAAGGGATATACCAATAAGCGATACAATAAATAAGTCAAATTAAGTAATATCGAAAGTCATGTGCTTTGGGAACGTCAATAAACCGAGAACGTACAAGTCGTTCCTCCAATTCAAGGGGTATTCAGGAGAATTACGATAAGAGCGACTAAGGTGTCGCTACCCAGTAATGAACCATATTTAGGTATCGGGCTAGCTAGTATCACAACCAGTGAAAAACAAACACAAAAATCATCGTAAAATCATAAAACGCATAGAGAATTCTTAGAAACAGAAGTGTCTAAAACACCCTTAACTAACAAATTACCAGAATAGAACAGTTTAATAAACTAACAAAAATAACATACTAATAAACCATTACAAAACGTTCTTGTAATATTAGGAGTTAATAGTTAATGTTAGGAGTTAGTAAAGTCAGCAACAAAATTAAATAAAACGAGTATTGATCATGATAATGTGGTCCTACCCTACATCATGTCACCACAAGATAGAACAATGGTTAGGTGCAATAAATAAAAGTTTAATAAATAATGGTTATGGGTTAGTAAATTCAACAATAAAAAAAATTAAATTAGTCCTGATCGTGATAATGTGAGTCCGACCTCGGATATGATCACCACAAAATCAAATAATATTAGGATAAATAAGTGGAGTTAATGGTTAATAAATAAAAATAAAATAAATATAAAATATAAAACAGAACCAAATAAACATAAAAAAAACAGTGAGTAGAATCGAACTTAGATAAATAATCAGAACATCACAATTGAATATAGATGTAAATAAATTGAACAGACATTGACCAAAATAGAATAAACACAAAAATGATGCATCAAACTCGAAATAAAAAAAGAGAGGAACTAAAATGTAAATTACGCTTAAAGTGTAAGAATCAATAAGGAAATAACCCTTTTACCCTAAATACTTAGCCTATCGTCGTTTTAATCAATTTAAAAACTATATACCTAAACCTAATTCTTTACCCAAATTGCTTCTTCTCACGAGCTCTCCCCTCCCTTTTCATCAAGCGGCGCCGTAAGCTTCCAGGACAAAAAAGCTTGGCCACCATGCGCCGGTGGTGACCCTTCCCTTCTCTAACGGCCGTTCGCGACGGTCACAACACTAAACCAAGCTTAGATCAACCTGAAGGGTCCTGAAACGAAGCTAAAATCCCCAAAATCAGAACCCCTTTACTTTCCACGGTCCGACGACCTCCTAATTCCGGCAGCCTTCTCGGAAAAGACCTCAAACGACCATGGGAGAAGATCGATGAGACCTTAACAAAGCGTCAAACGATTCAAGTAAGTTTCGAGCCCCCTTTTTTTAGTCTACATTTTCGAACGCATGAAATAGAAAAATCTAAGCACTGCTGGAAAACAAAAATCTTTGAAGAAAGTACCTTCAAGTTTTTTATATAGCTTGGAATCTGAGAAAATCCTCCATTACATGCATTCTATCGAGGGTTTTATAGAACCCTTTGAGATTACAATTAGAAAAAAACAAAAATGGGTAAGCATTAATGACTTGCTTTTTCGTTCTGAATGGCCTTTTTCTGCTTGTCCACAGTGGTTATGGCGAGGCTGGTACGGACGATCTGGGGGCAGTCATGGTCGCGCATGGGTAGCATTAATGACACCGGATTTTCAGCGATCTGTCTCGGCTGGACGGCTTTGGCTTGACGACTGGGCGGCTGGACGGCTCCCTTGCTTTTTCTCTTGATGGCTCTTGGAACCCTAGGGTTTCCTGTTAGTAGTGATTTGGGTCGGTGAATGGCCCCTTTTTTGGATAATGGATTTCAATTGAATTGTATTTGGTCTAAAGTATGAACGGGTTTGGGGAAATCTAAATGGACTTTAATGCTATTTAATTTGGGCATTTTTTGGTAAAGGTTGTGATTGGAATTTTTATTTTTTCTAATAAATAAATAAATAAATAAATGAAACTGTGTGGAAATAAGCAAATGTTTGAAATATCCCCACGGAAGCCATCTGAACTAACTCGACGTTAATGTACGAACGTATTTAACTTGATCTTCGATCGCCCTTAATTCGAAAAAGTTGGAGAGTTTGTGCAACAATAAACCTTTCGAAAAAATATGCCCACAGGAAGGCCGATGCCTAAAATGTACCCACACACATGAAACATTGCTTTCGAAAAAATAGGGCCAAAAGACAGTCGATGCATAAAATGTACCCACACACATGAAACATTGCTTTGGAAAAAATAGGGCCACTAGAAAGCCGATGCCTAAAAGGTTCCGATTGGGATTTTGATTTAGACCCCAATTTTTTTAAATAAATAAATGAAATGAAACTGTGTGGAAATAGGTGTTTTCCCCGAAATATCACCTTAACCCTATATATTTTTCCGTCAGACACCGTTTAGACTATATTTTCCGATCTAACACCTTTTGTAGGAAGGCGCGTCCCTACACCGCGCGTTACGCCACGTGGTTGAAGGCGCCTCCCTTGCACCGCACCTTACAAAATGTGTAAAAAACTCGGGTACTAGTTTTTAAACGGGTGTCAAATACGTAATTAAGTTCTATTATGGTGACACTTGTGTAAAAACGTCAGCATTTTGAATTGTGCAGACACCGCATGGTTCCAGGTTGTGAACTGGCTGGGGTTTTGTCACAAGTTAATGAAGTGGGCAGTATGTGTAGTGGTTGAGTTTATTAGTATTTTAGTGTGTCACAAGTTTATTTTTTATAATAATAAATATTTTATAATTTAAAAAAATTATAAATTTCATATATTTTTGAAAAATTTATTGTCTTTTAAAATTAATTGTTTATAATTAGAAAAAAATATTAAAATAAACTTTTAATTACAATTAAGGGATCAAATGAATTATTATTCATTAATTTTTATTTTTTAACAACATTTAATAATGTTTATTCATTTTTAATAAAATTATAAATAATTACTTCAAACTATGTCTACATGATATATATATATATATATAATGATTAATAAAAATTATAAATAAGTATCCCTTATAAATATAGTCTGAACGGTACTTGACAGGAAAATATATAGGGTTAGGATGATATTTCGGGAAAAACGTCTAAGAATGGCAGAGGAGCACAACTGGCGTATTTTGAATACAATTGTCTTATATCTCATCGCTAAAAATAAAATATCATTTTACATGCGTATAAATTTTATTATTATTTTGTCATTTAATTATGATAAATCTAGGATGAATATTATTATATTTTATTAAGCGATTTTAGTATCGAGTGACCTTAGTTATTAAATGAAGTATTATTCTTCTTAGAAGATGTGTATACGTTGTCAATGATTATATTTTGTTAAAAATAAATACTATATTATAATTACTTCAAACTATGTCTACATGATATATATATATATAATGATTAAGAAAAATTATAAATAAGTATCCCTTTTAAATACGTAATTAAGTTCTATTATATTCTATATAAATTTATAATTTTTTAAATTATAAAATATTTATTATCATCATCATCATTTTGTAAAAGAAATATTAGTTATAAAACTTTTATAAAATTATTCATATTTTAAAATATTTACCCTCAAAGTTTTCCTATACTAGATTATACGTACTGTGTAATTTGATGCAAAAATTTAAATAATTTTATTAAAAATGAATAAACATTATTAACTGTTGTTAAAAAATAAAAATTAATGAATAATAATTCATTTAATCCCTCAATTGTATTTAAAAGTTTATTTTAATATTTTTATATTTTTAAACAATTAATTTTAAAAAGCAATAATTTTTTCAAAAATATATGAAATTTATAATTTTTTAAATTATAAAATATTTATTATTATCATCATCATTATTTTGTAAAAAAATACTAGTTATAAAACTTTTATAAAATTATTCACATTTTAAAATATTTACCCTCAAAGTTTTTCTATACTAGGTTATACATATTATGTAATTTTAATGCAAAAATTAAAATAATTTTATTAAAAATGAATAAACATTATTAATTGTTGTTAAAAAATAAAAATTAATGAATAATAATTCATTTGATCCCTCAATTGCAATTAAAAGTTTATTTTAATATTTTTTTCTATTTATAAACAATTAATTTTAAAAGGTAATAAATTTTTAAAAAATATATGGAATTTATAATTTTTTAAATTATAAAATATTTATTATTATAAAAAATAAACTTGTGACACACTAAATTACTAGTAAACTTAATCACTACACACACTGCCCACTTCATTAATTTGTAACAAAACGCCAGTCAGTTCACAACCTGGAACCGTGCGGTGTGGACGGTGTCTGTACAATTCAAAATGCTGACGTTTTTACACAAATATCACCATAATAGAACTTAATTACGAATTTGGCACGCGTTTAAAAATATTTATAAAATTAGCATCCGGATTTTTTACACATTTTGTAAGACGCGGTGCAGGGAGCGCGCCTTCGACCACGTGACGTAAAGCGCGGTGTAGGGGCGCGCCTTCTTGCAAAGAGTGTTAGTTCGAGAAATATAGTCTGAACGGTGCCTGATAAGAAAATATATAAGGGTAGAGTGATATTTCGGGAAAAACGCGGTGGAAATAAGCAAATGTTTGAAATATCCTCAAACTATTTTTTGCCCATACCACGGAAGCCATCTGAACTAACTCGATGCTAATGTACGAACGTATTTAACTTGATCTTCGATCGCCCGATTTAAATTATTCACATAAAAATTTGAGGGATTTAATTGACTTTTTTTTTGTGTGAAAAAATCTGGCAATGCCTAAATTGTACCCACAAACATTGCTTTCGAAAAAATATGGCCAAAAAAAAGCCGATACCTAAAATATACCACAAACATTGTTTGAAGCCTTCAACTCTCGTTTAAAACATTCGAAAAAAATATGGCGACAAGAAAGCCGATGCCTAGCTAAAATGTACCCACAAACATTGTTTTCTAAGAAATGTACCCACATACATGTGTATTAAATTAGGGATGAGACCCAAACTCGGATTTTTTAAAAGTGATATTCAGGTCGGATCAGATTCGAGTTTAGAGTGAAAAATACTCGACCCGAAAGAATATAATTTCATATCATATATTTAGGAATAACTACAATAATACATATCTATATATTATTATTTTTCAATCACCGTTTCTATTGAATGAAAATAATTTTTTATTATTTCGGATCGAATTCGGATTTTATCTCAAAAAATGAGTCGATTTTGAGTCGGATGAAAGGTATATTTTTTTTGAGTCAGATCAAATCAGGTCAAATGAAGGATGTAAAATTTTTGGGTCGGGAGCATGCCCATCCCTAGTATTAATACTAATTAGTAAATTAACGGTAGCACCCAAATCCACAATAGCATGAAAAAAAACGAGGGGAGGACATTGAAAGCATAACATTCAAAACTCTGTCAACTGATAAATATAAATACGGCAACGCAGATGGCACAAATTCTCCATTCTTAACACACACAAGTCTAGCACTAATTACTGAAAAAAAATGTCTTCATCACTTCCGGCGTCGTTGGCTCAACATTCCAGTTCCGGCGAGAACCGTCGCTCCGCCAACTTTCATCCTAGCATTTGGGGGGATATTTTCCTTTCACCTCCCTCTGAAATGGTGAGCAGCCTCGTTTACTTCATTATATTTTTATGCTTTTACGTGTTTGCTTGCACATGAATAGGAATGAAAATGCTTATTTTCAACTCTGCAGAATGTGGATACTGAAACTCAACAGGAACACGATGAACTAAAGCAAAAAATAGAGAGGATGCTCATGGTGGCTACGGATGAGCCGATTCACAAATTGCAGTTAATCGATACGATTAAACACATTGGTATAAGTTACCATTTCGAAAGAGAGATAGAGGATGCTTTACGGGATATTCATCATCACTACCAATACGAAGCTGACCATAGTCTCGAGGATACTTGTCTTATGTTTCGACTACTTAGAGAGAATGGCTTCAATGTTCAATCTGGTAAGTCTAATCACTTTAGGGCACTCTTGTGACAGAATTAGGACTTAATCTCTGTAATGCCTTAAATTGAACAGAAATATTCAACAAGTTCAAAGATGAGAATGGAAACTTCAACGTGTCCTTGACGAGAGATGTCAAAGGGTTGCTACAACTTTATGAGGCTTCTCATTTGAATGTTGATGGAGAGAATATACTAGAAGAGGCTCTTGCATTCACCACCACTCAGCTAGAGCTTGCCAAAGGGGATGATGGCCTAATTTCAGCACTTGTGTCCCATGCCCTAAACCGACCTATCCGAAAGAGCTTGCCAAGGTTGGAGGCAAGGCACTATATTCCCCTATATCAACAAAATGATTCACATGACAAAACGTTGTTGAAGTTTGCGAAGTTGGATTTCAACTCATTACAAAATCTGCACAAGGAAGAGCTAAGCAACATCTCTAGGTGGTGGAGAGATTTAGATTTTACGACAAAACTACCATTTGCTCGAGATAGATTGGTCGAATGCTACTTTTGGATATTGGGGGTGTACTTTGAGCCGCAATACTCTTTTGCCAGAGAGATACTGACAAAAGCAATCACCATGGCATCAACCATGGATGACATATATGATGTGCATGGTACATTTGAAGAACTCCAACTCCTTACAAATGCCATTCAGAGGTATGCAATACGAATACATGTCGACAGGTGACAACTATATCATATAGGTTTAATATTTGACATAAATCTCTCATTTTAATTTCAGGTGGGATATTGATTGTTTAGATAAACTCCCAGAATATATGAAAATTTTCTTCAAAGCACTCTTAAATCTTTATGAAGAAATGGAGGAAGCGATGTCAAAGCAAGAAAAATCATACAGAGTTCATTATGCAAAAGCAGCAGTAAATTCACACTGACAAAACCCTTTTTAATCTCATTTATCATTGTGTATTTAGTACTATAAAAGAGAGAATTTCTACTTACATATATCTTGGGGGTGTTTTGTTTTCTTTTTCAGATGAAACAATTATCACAATCTTATTTCGTTGAGGCCAAATGGTACAACGAAAACCACGTACCAACAATAGAAAAATACATGAAAAATGCATTGGTGTCATGTGGCTACATCATGCTTACAATCACATCTTTTGTTGGAATGGGAGACATTGTTACGGAAGAAACCTTCAATTGGGCATCGAACAACCCTAAGATCATCATAGCTTCATCGACGATCTCCCGTCTCATGGACGATATCGTTTCACACAAGGTACCAACCGGATTAGTCTTGTTTCCTACTACTTCATCTGATCATTGTTGGAAATAAAACACTCACACAAACAACTTTTATTGAAACTCAAACAAATATTAAAAGAGTACTCTCACTCAAAAACAAGAACTACAACTCACTCTTATAAGACTTTGCTTCTTCACTCACTTAGAAGCTCTTAATTTTTCTTGATGCTTAAAACTAAAATGGGAAGGGGTATTTATACTACTCAAGAACAATCCTACACCACACAAATAAACTAATTTAAACCATTACAAATTCAACAAATATCTAACTCTCACCTAACTAAATTGATGTAAGTAATGACATCATTAATTAAATGATGTAAGCAATGACATCTTTAATTAAATGATGTAAGTAATGACATCAATTTAGTTTGGGTTTGGGTTTAAGCTCCCATAATGGATCAAGTTTATGATCCAACACCCTCCCTTAAACTTGATCTCGTGACCCCTAGTAGGTTCCTTAATCTTAAGAAGTCTTCGCTGGTCAGTGGCTTGGTAAAAATATCAGCAACTTGATCTTGTGACTTCACATATTCAACTTCCATATCTTTTCTTGCAACACACTCCCTTATATAGTGGTAGCAAATATCAATGTGCTTGCTTCGATCATGGAATACTGGATTCTTCGCTAAGGCAATGGCTGACTTGTTGTCGACACAAACCTTGGTAGGCTCTTCTTGTATCAAACCAATCTCCTTCAATAGATTTCTAAGCCAAATTGCATGACAAACACATGAGGTAGCAGCAACATATTCCGCTTCACAAGTGGACAATGTGACAATCGGTTGTTTCTTTGACATCCATGTGAATGCAATATCTCCCATGAAAAATACGAATCCAGTAGTGCTCCTTCGATTATCTATGTCTCCACCCCAATCACTGTCGCTATATCCAACAAGCTTGTAATCATTAGAAACTGAATAGAACAAGCCAAAGTCAATTGTACCTTTCAGATAGCGAAGAATTCTCTTTGCGGCTTTAAAATGGGTGGTTGTTGGGGATTCCATGTAGCGACTAACCAATCCAACTGCGTGAAGAATATCGGGTCTCGTGCAAGTTAGATAGCGTAGACTTCCTACCAAACTTTTGAAGAATGTTGGATCTACACTTTCGCCTTCTTCATGTTTGGTCATCTTGATCCCGTATTCTGCCGGTGTGCTTATTGGCTTACAGTTCTCCATCTTGAACTTCTTCAGTATCTCCTTTGCATAGCTTTCCTGTGAAATGAAAATTCCATCATTTTGTTGCTTAACTTCAATGCCAAGGTAGTACGCCATGAGCCCCATGTCTGTCATCTCGAATTCTTTCATCATCACATCCTTGAATTCATTAAACATGCTTGGGTTGCTTCTAGTGAAGATCAAATCGTCCACGTAGAGGCACACGATCAAAATATCTTTATCTTTGATCTTGATATATAGAGCATGCTCGTAGGGACATTTGTTGAAGCCATTCTCTTGGAAGTACTTGTCGATTCGGCTATTCCATGCCCTTGGTGCTTGTTTTAGCCCGTAAAGAGCCTTCTTCAACTTCAACACCTTGTCTTCATGCCCTTTGACTTCATAGCCTGATGGTTGCTGAATGTAAAGTTCATCTTCAAGAACTCCATTTAGGAAGGCGGACTTTACATCCATCTGTTGTATCTTCCACTTGTTTTGAGCTGCCAAAGAAATGATTAGTCTGATAGTCTCTAGTCGAGCAACAGGAGCAAATACCTCATCATAGTCAATTCCAGCCTTTTGACTATAGCCTTTAGCAACTAGCCTCGCCTTGTGCCTTTGAATCTCTCCTTTGGCGTTTTGCTTTGTTTTGTACACCCATTTGACACCTATCGCCTTATGTCCCTTGGGAAGTGAGGTAAGTTCCCATGTGTCATTCTTCTCGATGGCCTTGATTTCTTCGTCCATCGCATCTCTCCATTTCTTTTCTTGTACCGCTTCTTGAAAGCTCACTGGTTCACAATCGGCAAACAGACAAAATAATGTAAGATTATCTTGTCGTTCAGTTACCTCATAGAGATCTCTAAGGCTTCTTGTGCGTTGCACAACTCTTTCACTTTGACTCCCACTTGACGATGATGAAGGTGATGAGTCTCCTTGAGTGGTTGATGTTGGTGAAGTGGGTGGAGTTGCAAGCTCTTGTTGAGATTCATCTAGTTGCTCCCTCATTGTCTGCTCATCTTCTTCAAACTGAGGAAAGAAATTGAAGTCATCTGTATGAGAGTTAAAATCCCATTCTCCTTCTTCGTTGAAGACCACATCTCGACTAATCACAAACTTCTTATTGTCTGGATTGTACAACTTGTAGCCCTTCGAATTAGCATCATAGCCGATGAAGATAAAACTCTCGCTTTTATCATCAAGCTTCGTTCTTCTCTCGTCTGGTACGTGAACATGGGCTATACTTCCAAAGGTTCTCAAGTGGGAAATGTCAGGCTTTCTTCCACTCCATGCCTCTTGCGGTGTCTTTCCCCATACACTTCTTGTTGGAGATCGATTTGACAAGTAGACTGCACACGATACTGCTTCCGCCCAAAATTCTTTGGGTAGTTTCTTGCTTTTGAGCATGCTTCGTGCCATGTCGAGAATTGTTCTATTCTTTCTTTCTGCCACACCATTTTGCTGGGGGGATCTAGGAACTGTCATTGGTCGACGAATTCCATTTGCTTCACAGAACTCTTGAAACTCCCTGGAAGTAAATTCTCCACCTCGATCGGATCTCATGGCTTTGATCTTTCTACAGCTTTCTCTCTCCACTGCTACTTTGAACTTTTTGAAGACTTCAAAAACTTCTGACTTCTGTTTCAAGAAATATACCCAGGTTTTTCTTGAAAAATCATCAATGAAGAGAAGAAAATAGTTATTGTTACCGAGAGAGCTTGGCTTGATCGGTCCACACACATCGGTATGGATGAGCTCAAGTGGCTTCTTAGCTCTTGTCTCTGACTCCTTTGGAAAGCTTTTCCTGAATTGTTTCCCGACTAGACACCCTTCACAGAGCTGGTCAGGATGGTTGATGTGAGGTAGTCCTTTCACCATCTCCTTCTTAGATAATAGCTCTAGACCTCCAAAATTGAGATGCCCAAATCGAAGATGCCAAAGCCATGATGCATCTTTGTAGCAAGCTTTCAGGCACTTTGCAACATCATTTTGTATGTTGATCAAGAACATTCTATTCTTTGACATCGGCACTTTAGCAATGAAGTTATTCTTATCTTCTTTTATAGAAAGATTATAATTATTCATATGAATATCATAACCTTTCTCTACCAGTTGCCCTAAACTTAAAATGTTACTTTTCATATTGGGCACATAGTAGACATTTGAAATAAATTGATGTCTCCCATCTTTCAAACGGATAAGAATGTTACCTCTCCCTTTCACTGCTATTGTGGAATCATCTCCAAACGAAACATTTCCACTTACTGACTCGTCTAGCTCCACAAACATGTCTTTCCTTCCACACATGTGATTGCTTGCACCACTGTCAAGATACCAGGAATTTGCTTGGCCACCATCAGTTTCCTTTCGTGCTAGAAGAAGAGTTTCTTTGCCATCTGTCTTTTCCTCCACGTAATTGGCCTTCTCCTCAATTTTGTTGTTGGGAGCTCTACATTCTGAAGCATAATGCCCAAATTTTTGACAATTATAACATCGAATTTGAGATTTGTCATACTTTGAGTTTGGATTAATTCTTCCACGGCCTCGTGTTGAGCTTTCTCCTTTCTCATAGTTGTTGTTGGAATTGTTATTGTCAGCCTCGTCCACGACCTCGACTTCCACCTCGTCCATGGCCTCTACCTCTGCCTTGGCCACGTTGGTTTCTATCATTGCGTTGGCTCTCATGCATATCCTTGAGTTGCAGCTTGAGGAGTTGCTCAGTAAACTCATGCTTCTTTTTATGCTTCTCTTCGTATGCTTGCAATGATCCTTGGAGCTGTTCGATCTTCATTTCTTCCAAGTCTTTAGTTTCTTCAATCGTCACGACGATGTGCTCAAATTTGGGATCTAACGAACGGAGTATCTTCTCTATTATCCTCACATCGTCTAATTTTTCACCATTTCTTTTTAATTGATTAGAAACAACTACTACTCTTGAGAAATAATCTGAAATAGAATCAGATGCTTTCATGTTTAAGGATTCGAATTCACCTCTTAATGTTTGGAGACGAACCTTCTTCACTTGCTCAGATCCTTTGTAAGAGGTTTGTAGCTTCTCCCACGCTTCCTTGCTAGAGCTTGCACTTGAAATCTTTTCAAAACCATCATCATCTAATGCTTGATAGATGAGGTAGAGAGCCTTATTGTCTATCTTTCTTGAATCCTTCAAAGTTGTCTTTTGATCTGGTGTAAGAGTAGCAAAAGCATCATCATCCACAGGCTCGTTATAGCCTTTCTCTATGATATCCCACACATCTTGTGATCCAAGAAGTGCCTTCATTTTGATACTCCAATTGTCATAGTTGTTGTTGTTGAGTGTCGGAACTTGGAATGGTGCCATACCATTTGCCATATCTCTCAATATAATGAGATTTTGTAAAATCCGATTGCACGGATGAATCCGGAACGATGAAAAAAAAAACTTTGGAGGGACTTGGACAACTCGGTCAAGGGCTCCAACTCGGCTGACTCGGCTCAACTCGGTGAGTCAACTCGATTTTCTGGCAGCAGTCTTCCGGCGGTGCGTGGCGGTGCGTCAGAACTCAGATTGAGAAAATTCTGGCGGCGTCGGATTCCTCTCGTCGAGACCTTCGATCTTTCCAACTCTCTCTGATGCCACTTTGTTGGAAATAAAACACTCACACAAACAACTTTTATTGAAACTCAAACAAATATTACAAGAGTACTCTCACTCAAAAACAAGAACTACAACTCACTCTTATAAGACTTTGCTTCTTCACTCACTTAGAAACTCTTAATTTTTCTTGATGCTTAAAACTAAAATGGGAAGGGGTATTTATACTACTCAAGAACAATCCTACACCACACAAATAAACTAATTTAAACCATTACAAATTCAACAAATACCTAACTCTCACCTAACTAAATTGATGTAAGCAATGACATCATTAATTAAATGATGTAAGCAATGACATCTTTAATTAAATGATGTAAGTAATGACATCAATTTAGTTTGGGTTTGGGTTTAGGCTCCCATAATGGATCAAGTTTATGATCCAACAATCATATGTTCACATAATGTTCGATTTCGGGGTGCAGTTCGAGCAAGAGAGAGGAGACGTTGCATCGGCCGTCGAGTGCTTCATGAAGCAACACGGAGTTTCGGAAGAAAATGCATGCCAAGAGTTGAATAAGCTGGTTGAGAATGCTTGGAAGGATATAAACCAGGAGCTGCTGATTGAACCAACTGCTGCTGCTGCTGCGGTTCCATTGCCGGTACTCACTCGCGTTCTGAATCTGGCTAGGGTTATGGATTTCCTGTACAAGGAAGGAGATGGATATACGCACGTTGGAAATGTTGTGAAGACCGGAATCGCATCGTTGTTGATTCATCAAGTGCCGATTTGATGAAGGTAATGCATTTGTGGACCTGAAATTCCCAGAAACAAAATGACAAACCAACAAAAAGACACAAAGAAGGCCGTGCCGTACGAATCAAGGAAATATAATAATTTTGGTTTGACGACAAACATTCAGATGAAGTAACTGAATATTATAATAACTTAAATGTATTTTGAATTCTGTACTTTTTTTTATTGCTCAGCGAGGATTAATGTTATTGAAGAAGTACGCTAAGGATGATTGCCTCGTTAAAATCCTCCCTAGACTTATATGGAGGAAAAGAGTGAATTCATCCCAGCAGGCTTAAAGACAAGTAACCAAACACCTTAGGGCAAAAGACAACACTTACAAATACAAACATACCCCTCAAAATCTGGAACAAATCAACATAAAATAACACCTAGCATAAACCAAGAAAATCACACTTCACTACTTAATACAACAACTGCTTAGTACCCAAAATTCAAACACAGCAGCGTGATTAGACTTCTCAGAAAACAGATCCACTTCAGAGCCACGCACGAACAAAGAAACACTGCCCTCTTCAACAACAGGACAGAACCAACCGGACAGACCACACCCCCACACTTGCCGAAACAAATGACAAAAGGGTGAACCTGCAAGCTAGTAACCTGTAACACGGCCTCGAATCCCACGCTCATATACTTTCAGTTCCACCAAGCTTTGAACAAGACGGAACGAAGCAAATCTTGTTTCGCCAAATGATCTGGAGAAGCACAAAATAACCGATGAACCAACCAGTAAATTCCATTCAGTCTCACCAAGCATTGAAGAGAAAGGAGCGGCAATGTTTTGAATCTTTACACACCACTTAAAACGAAGATTTTTTGCTTCTTTTCACCCTAATCATTCAAGACCGAGACCACCAAACGCAACAACATACAGCTTATGAAATCAGCCTGCTCATCAACATCTTCTCAGCTCCCGATAAACAACACGACCTGGCCTTAAAAAGGGACCTCGAAGCACCCCTTCCTCAAGCTAAAAAAAAACCAACTTAATGATTTTTAAGACTGCCTTTGCAGAGATCCAACATAATGTAACTAACGAATTGAGCAACCATTCGAATGTTCTCATCATCGAAGGTCCACCTCCACCAAGATCAAGGAAACAAAGAAGCAACCCGTAACAAAACAACTTGAGCAATAGAAACAAAACCCAACACTAACACCATAGATAAAACTCCCTTTTCCAGCAAAAAGCAAACCAATGACCACAAAACTCCACAAAAGCAGCTCAATCTTCAACTTTTGCAAACACTAAACACATCATAATCAGCTCTCTCTTTCCATGGGTTGAAAGTATTGTTAAAATTTTAAAGTTTGACAACCAACTTTGAAAAAATGGTTTTCAAAATTTGGTAAATGTTTATTTAAAAATGATTTTCAAAGTTTGGTAAATGTTTCTTTAAAAAATAATTTTTCAAAATTTGGTAGATATTTATTGAAAAATGATAATGGAATAATTACAAATAGTCATTGCACTTTAGGGTATTTACAAGATTAGTCCTTAAGCTTCAACTATAAATATCCTAATCTATTTAGCTTCAAGATCATCCCAAAATCATTTCTTTCTCCCAATACTAGAGAGCTTTCTTGTGAGTAGTGAATGTTTTGTAAACACCTGTAAATTTTCTCTCTTAGTAAAAGATCTGCAGCAGTCCGGAGACGTAGGCATAATTGACTGAACTCCGTTATCAATTTCGGGTATTATTTTCCGTTTTTATTTCACATTCTCACTAATATGGTTATAGAGAAATTACTCGTACTCATTTATTTCTCAACAACTGGTAATCAGAATTTTTGATTGTGATTTTTGTCATTTTTTTGCTAGGTCACTATTCACGTGAATAGTGAATTTTGTGAATAGTAAAATTTGGTCGCTGATACGAATTTATTAACGGAGGTGTTCTAATACATGTTGGTTCGCAAGAATTGTCAGAAACGATCCAAACGAAGCCATATTCGAGTAGGAGCGATGGCTGCATACGAAGGGAAGGTGAAAATTGAAAAGTTTGATGTTGCAGACTTTGGCTTTTGGAAGATGCAGATTGATATAGATTTTTTCTGTACCAGAAAAAATCTATATCAATCTCTCTGAGGAAAGCAACTAGAGGGCATGAAGAATGAATACTGAGCTCTTCTCGACAGACAAGCCCTAGGAGTTATCCGACTGACGTTATCCCGCAATGTTGCTTTCAACATAGCAAAGGAAAAGATAACGGCGGGTCTTATGGTGGCTCTCTCCAGTATGTATGAGAAGCCATCAGCCTCAAACAAAGTTCATTTGATGAGGCGATTATTCAATTTGTGGATGACGAAATCAGTGGCTCAACACCTAAATAAACTCTCAACACAATCACAACCCAGTTGAGTTCCGTGGAAATTAAATTCGATGATGAGGTTCGAGCTTTAATTCTCTTATCATCTCTACCAGACAGTTGGAATGCTACTGTTACAACAGTCAGCAGCTCGTCTGGAAACATCAAATTGAAATTTGATGATGTTCGGGATCTGGTATTGAGTGAAAAAATTCGACGGAGAGAATCGGGTGAAGCATCAAGCTCCTCAGCCTTGCACATGGAGTCTAGAGGGAGAACTTCAGAAAGAAATTCAAATCTTGGCAGATCGAAATCCAGAAGGGGAAAATCAAGAATGGGAAAGAAAGATTTTACCTGTTATAATTGTGGCAAGAAGGGTCACTTTAAAAAGGATTGTCGAGCACTGAAGAAAGATACTGGCGCACAGGAATCTGCCAACATGACAGAGGAGACATGTGATGCCATGATTCTAAGCGTCTATAGTTCGATTGAATCATGGATCTTGGATTCAGGGGCATCTTTTCACTCCACCCATGCCAAGAAATCATGAGGAACTATGTCAGTGGTGATTTTGAGAAGGTTCATCTAGCTGATGATGAAACCTTGAAGATTGTCGAAAAATGAGACATCCAATTAAAGCTGCCAAACCAGACCACCTGGAAGCTGAAAGGAGTGAGACATATTCATGGCCTCAACAGAAATCTGATTTCTGTTGGACAGCTGGATAGAGAAGGATATTGTACAACCTTTTCAGGCTATGAATGAAAGATTACCAAATAAGCACTCGTCATTTCTCGTGGTAAGAAGACTGATACTCTCTATGTAACCTCAAACTTAGAGAATATCATTGTAGTAGCAGATGCTGATGGAAAATCAAACTTATGGCACCAAAGGCTTGGCCATATAAGTGAGAAAGGGATGAAGACACTTCTGTCTAAAAGGAAGCTGCCGGATCTAAAGAATGTAGATGCCGGACTATACTAGGATTGCATCTTTGGAAAACAAAAGAAAGTCTGTTTTGCAAAGATTGACAAGACACCCAAGATAGAAAAGTTAGAGTTGGTTCATACTGATATATGTGGACCATCTCCAGTTTCATCTCTTGAAAGTTAAGCGGTTGAGGTTTGATAATGGATGAGAGTACAAAAATAGTAGATTCAAAGATTTCTGCGTAAATAATGGGATCAAGATAGAGACAATAGTTACCATGACACCGCAGCAGAATGGCGTAGCAGAGCGCATGAACAGAACTCTAAATGAACGTGCCAGAAGCATGAGGATACATGCCGTATTGCCTAAATTGCTATGGGCTGAAGCTATCAACACTACAGCTTACCTGATCAACCGTGGGCCCTCAGTTCCCTTGGATGGTGGAATACCAGAGGAAGCTTGGAGCAAGAAAGAAATAAACCTTTCACACTTAAGAGTGTTTGGTTGTATTTCATATGTACACATAAATTCTGCTGAAAGAAGTAAACTTGACGCCAAGTCCAACAAATGTGTGTTTGTTGGTTATGGTGGTGATGAGTTCGGTTACCGGTTTTGGAACTATGAAAATCGGAAGATCATCATAAGCATAGATGCCATTTTCAATGAGAATGTGATGTACAAAGACAAGTCAACCATAGAATCAAGTAGCTCCAACACCAAAGATGAAACAAAAGAATTTGCTGAGTTTGAGGAGATTTCTGGAAATGATGTTCAGATCAGTCCTGAAGCAGTTCAAGAAGAACCAGACACACCAAAACTAAGACGCCCCCCAGAATTCCTAAACCAACCCAGCGTTATTCACTTTCTTTGCACTACTTGTTGTTGACTGACAATGGTGAACCAGAATGCTATGATGAAGCAATGTAGGTGGAGGATTCAGTCAAGTGGGAGTCTTCCATGAAAGATGAGATGGACTCACTTATGTCAAATCAGACATGGGAATTAGTTGAATTACCACCAGGCAAGAAGCGCTCCATAACAACTGGATTTACAGGATTAAAGAAGAGCACGATGAGAGCAAACGTTACAAACCAAGATTGGTTGTCAAAGGTTTTCAACAAAAAGAAGGTATTGACTACAATGCAATTTTCTCTCCTGTCGTGAAACTGTCTACAATCAGACTGGTGTTGAAAATTATAGCTACAGAGAATCTACATCTTGAGCAGTTAGATGTGAAGACAGCTTTCCTTCTTGGTGATTTGGAGGAAGAGATCTATATGAGGCAACCAGAAGGCTTTATAGAGGCAGGCAAGAAAAACTTGGTATGCAGGTTGAAGAAGAGCTTGTATGGTTTAAAACAAGCTCCTAGACAGTGGTACAAGAAGTTCGATAACTTCATGAGTAGCAGTAGTTTCACCAGATGCCAAGCAGATCATTGTTGCTACATTAAGAAGTAAGAAAACAACTTCATTATTTTATTGTTGTATGTTGATGACATGCTTGTTGCAGGTTTAGACATGAAAGAGATTATAAACTTGAAGCAAAAATTGTCGAAGCAGTTTGCAATGAAAGATCTGGGCGCAACAAAGCAGATTCTTGGGATGAGGATCAAGAGAGACACAAAGTCGGGGACTTTGATGTTATCACAGGCTGAGTACATCAACAAAGTACTCTCCAGATTCAACATGCAAGATGTTGAACCAGTAAGTACACCTTTAGGTGTTCATTTTAGACTCTCCAAAGAACAATCACCAAAGACGGAGGAAGAACTTGCACACATGGTGAAGGTGCTGTATGCCTCATCAATTGGAAGTCTGATGTATGTCATGGTTTGTACTAGACCATATATTGCTCATGCAGTGGGAGCTGTTAGCAGATACATGAATAATCCAAGCAAGGTACACTGGAAGCTGTCAAATGGATCCTCAGA